TTAGGCATCCGCCACATGTTCTTCAGCAAACTCTATGCAGCAATACTATGAGGAGAAAGGTTTCAAAGGTTGGCTGCCTGGAGAGCACAAGGTCGTCACTAGGTAGTCGTGACGGAATGCTCAAGCTCGAGCAAGCTGAACGGACGAAAATAAAAGGGATAACTTCAGAAAAGTGCCATTTCAGCTTTCGCACTGCAAAACCGATTGCCTCATGCAAAAAAAGTGAGGCTGAAAACTGAACCTGCAGAAAGGACTGTTTGGGCTGCAGAAAAGTGCACCCTTTTTTTTTCTTTTTTCTTTTTTAATAAGACCYGGCTTCCCCTGGCTAGGGGGGATGATATGAGTGTTCTCCCCTAGCAGGTTGTCGTGGTGCTCCAATCTATATTGGTTGGGAGCTTCACCTGCTGGAAACCGGGTCCAGCGTCAGAAAAGTGCAGCCTGAATGGAATCACAGAAAAGTTACAGTACATGGGCACCTGGGCCGCGGGTCTGACACCTCAAATTCTGGAGGCGCAAAACGAAAACGGGGCCACCGATCGAATTTATCAACGGCGGGCCCAGCGTTTGACGTTTCGGCCTCRTTTTCTTGTGGCGACAAATTTCGGACTGCAAGGCTGGGGCCGTGTACTTGTGGTTTAAGTCCAATTTCATTGTTTTGTAACTTTTGTTTTTTCTTTTTGTTCTTTCCAGTTTGCGGGAAGTCCGCGTCAATTTCCTTTTTTTTTGTTTGTTTTCTTCCATTTGGTAGAAGTTTAAATTGACGGCGCAGGGGAATGTGCCTAAGCTCTCTCTCTTTTTTTTTTTTTTTTTTTTTACCGATACATCGCAGAAATACTCATGCCTTTTCCCAGTAAACCACCAGTACAGCCAAACCTATATCCACGAACCCGTTTTGTTTTTTTTTCCAAAAAAACAGAGCCAGCTGCTCAGCTAGGAGAGGTGAGCTCAGTTGCTACGCCAATGAGCTGTTGAAATGCAGACCCAAGTTGAAAGGAAAAAATATCTATGGAGTCCCCATACGCAAGGGCGATGCAGGGCTCCAAAATTTACCTGGGGCCCTCGCAYTTTCAGGGCTCCAAAATTTTCAGGGCCGATGCAGGGGACTCGAAAGTCCCCATCCTTTGTGTGTTTTGGGTGTGTGCTCATACGCACGCCAGGCCGCTTTACTCCATGCTGGCTGAGCTCCGGAATACTGGCCGGCACACTACGGACTCCTGGCAGGGATGGTGAAGTCTGTCAACAATGGAACGAGTTATGCGGTGCAGCCGAGGTGCTTTAGAGTTTGTCTTAGCCATGCAAATGGAGTGGTAGCCATACAGTGTGAATGAAAAGTATGAGGAACATATAGGCTGGAGGGCAAGGGGGAGGTGGGAGGGCAGACAATACATAAGGACAGAGGACACGAAAGGACGAATGCTGATGGGAACGGGGGAGGCAGAAGGACAAACGCCATACAAGCACACCCAGCAGACAGACCAAAAAAAAAAAAAAAAAAAAAATCCCAAGACAGTCGAAGGACCGAAATAAATAAATAAATAAATAAATAAAAGCTGGTGATGAAAGATTGTTTCGTCGGAGTTGCACCGACTCATCAGGAAGCTGAAACCTCGACAATCTGCGGAATGCCCGTATTGATGGTTTGCGTTATGCACCCTTCGACCCTTGTTGAAGGCAGACTGTCCCCAAGTGGAACATAGCAGTGGACAGCAACCCTGCAGAGCATCAGGCAACACAGTAGAGGCAACACGGCTGCACAACGCCAAAAAGGACTGCAAGGAACAACACGGCACGCAGGACTTGCAACATGGCAACCAAGCAGTGAAGCACCACGCAACACCACCAAGACAACCACACTGCAAGGGACGAGAGGGCAASCGGACAAGCAGCAAAGCAACCATGCTGTRAAGCACAAGGCAACACCAACACCGGTTACACGGCAACCGAACTACAYGGCGCGCAAGCAAAGGACACGGAAAGGTGACGGAAGGCACGACCAGCGGAACGACGGCAAGGCAGCAGAGCAGCGAAGCGCAAGGCAACACCACAACCCACCCACACCACACAGCGAAGACAGCAACATGCCAAGAACGACCTGCGAGGCAAGCGGAACGCGCAGCAAGGCAGTGGCGGAACACAGACGAGGCCGTCCACACATCCAACACGGAGCAAAGCAGCACATCACCTACTCACATCACGGGTGAACCCCACAGACTGATGGTTCCCACCACCCACTGAGCCAGGGAGACACTCCGATGAGCATCCGTCATCACCTACAGGCAAYAYAGACATCCCGAACTGAGCGGCCCCCATAAGAGTGCAGTAGGCATKCCAAACGAGGAACCACCGACTGTTTGGCATACAAAAATACTTCGAAAAATTAGGGGAGAGGCGGAAAAACAAACATACCAAAAACTGATTGTGTGTGTGTGTGTGTGTGTGCGTGCGTGTGTGTGTGTCCCAAATCTTCTTTTTCCCTCCGTTCGTTCGTTTTTTTTTTCCAGACTGTAAATGGTTTATCCGGCATACGGGTACGCCGGCCGGGTTAGATCATCACCCTCGGAATAAAGCACACTTAAAAAGTTGCAGTCTTTGGGTTTAACAAAGACATCATTCGTTTTTTCTTCTTTGTTTTTTCCTTCGTTTTTCTTTCTTTCATCTCTATTTCATTTCCAGGACCTGTTTTTTTTGGGTGCTCGTATATTTCCATTACAATGCACACATGAAGACCCTTAGCCACACACACACACACACACACACACACACACACACACCATCAGTCATATGCATCATGGGCAGACTGTCGAGGTTCAACCTCCTGATGAGTCGGTGAAAGTCCGACGAAACAGTCTGGCACAGTCATGCTTCTTTGAGTGAATAGTGAACATGACAACACACACACACACCATCAGTCGTATGCATCCTGGGCAGGCTGTCGGGGTTGAACCTCCTGATGAGTCGGTGAAAGTCCAACGAAACAGTCTGGCAAAGTCATGCTTTTTTTGAGTGTATAGAGAATATGACAACACTCTCTCTCTCTCTCTCTCTCTCTCTCTCTCTCTCTCTCTCTCTCTCTCTCTCTCTCTCTCTCTCTCTCTC